CGAGAGCACTGTCGAGGGTGCGGATTGCATGGCGAGCACTGCGCCTGTTATCCGATACATACATACGTATAGCACATACATGTGTTTGATGTGCGCTCGTCAACCTTCCTTCAAAACCTACACCACCTCCTCCCTCCTCTACCCCCCACTCGTCTTTCTGCATCCAATGGTTGTATTTGTTGCCTTCGAGTACCTGACGGCCGCAAGCGCGCGCTGAAACGTTCCGTGTTACTGGAAATATATATATATATATTTTTTCTTATTATGACACAACGAAACCATCTCTATCATTGAAAAGAGTCTGAGACAGATTTTTAGCAATGGATTCATAGCGTCAGAAATTGTGTTTTACGTTAGGACCCAATGCCGGTCGCCCCGGTGGTCTAGTTGGTAGCCTCGTAACCTTCTAGATAGAGGTCAGGTCAGGGGTTCGAATCCCGGCGTAGGCGAGCTTTTCTTGCAAAGTGAGTTTTTCTCTCGCTTCCGCTCCTGGCCAAGTGGATAGCGCTAGTTCGTGTGTACACAGAGGGAAGAGAGTGCTGAACTCTTCTCGCATTAAAAATTGAAGGCGAAGTACCGCAGGAGGGGAGGGTAGAGAGAGGCTCTTCTGTGTGACCACGGGTTGGAATAAACGGCAATAGTGCTGTGAGCGCTGATTTGAAGTGAAGAAAAAAAAAAAAAAAACACGGAACAGGGAACAGAACAGGGAACAGGGAATTCCGAGTTCCGGGAATTCCGAGTTCCCTGTTCCCTCTTCCCTCCCTGTCCAGCAAATAGACGTTACACGCCCTTACTTCGTAGTGTCATCACCGCACATGTTCCCTGTGGAACAAAGGGTCTCGTCACTTGTCACACGTACGTGTCGCGCATACACAGAACGCAAAGCAAGGTCGAAGAGAGAGGAGAACTATCACGGCATTTACAAGATATGAGAAAAGAAAGAAAGATATCACGGCATTTATTTCTATTCTAGTCTGATGACGTAAGAAAAGGAAGGTAGAGGTGGCATCGAGTGTCATTACTGCCGAAGACGGAGGAATTTTTGCGGACCGACGTAAATTCGTGCCTACCGCCGGGCTAGTATACGGCACGCTTTGTAGATGGCCTCGCAGCAATTCTCCACCACGCACGCGCACACGCTCTTCGCCGCCAGTAAACCAGCGGACACGCCGGATACTACTTAGTAGGATACAGCAAATAAAACGAGAGATACTTGCAGCTTTCCGATTCACCAACAACAAAGCAACGAACGGCGGCGGCAGGTCTTCATCGGTTAGAAAAACTTCCCGAGTCAGTCAGTGGGTGACAACAAAGAAAGGTGGTGCTGGTTGTCTTTTCGGCATGGCGTCGAAAACCGGTGAGAGGCAAGCGCTGTTGTTCCCGTCTACCGGCGGTGGCGGCGGCAGCAGCATTGGCGGTCGTCATGGCTCTACCCGGAGCAGCAGCAACAGCCACAAGATCAAGCAAGGTTCGCCTACGATCACCGTGCCAAGCGACAAGGATCATCACCATCAGCTTCGCCTTCATGTCGAAGTTCCGGGTGGCAGCGGCCAGCACTCTTCTTCTTCCTCGTCAACATCGTTTCGAGGAGAGGTGGGCCCAGCGAGCGGGTAGTTTTACACTCGATTGATGGTTCATCTGAGTTACAACACATGGGGATCAACAACCTGGTGATGATCCTCTAGATGCAATAGATATGCACGGATGCGGCTGGTAGATTTAATCCGTGAGCGAGCGAATGTATTATTCGGGAAAGCGAATGTACTACATATTATTCGGAAAAGAATGTCAACGGTGCACTTCTTCTGGCGCCAATAAGAACAGCAGTCTTTGCTTGATGCGGGTTTAGATGCATGTATGTGCACATGCTAAATACATGTTGATGCGGCTTTTGTCGAATCCCCACGTGGCCATCATGTTACTTGGCGATGACATCGACAGCGAGCGGTCGACGTCCCCATTGTCTCAGTAATGCCTCACTTGTTGCGTCTCTTGTTCAAACAAGCACGCACATGGTGTACAGAAACTCTACTATTTCGAGGGTTGTTTGGTGCCCGCCACGTCGTTCGTTATTTTTTTCGGATTAGTTGGGTCGGGTTGTTCGGTCGGGTCGATCGGGCGGGCGTTGGGTAGCCTTGGGTCGCCTTGCGTCGATCGCGCCGCCGCCGCCCCGTCGGATGCCCTCTCTTTTGTCCTTGGGTAGTAAAGAAAGGCATTGCATCGCAAACATCTGACTGATCTATCTGCGACCACCTTCACGGGGGGGAGGGGGTTGCTCTCTCTGGCGTATCTACTTGGTGGAAGTTGGTGGTGATAACTGATGATGCTCTTTATTTTTCTTCGTGGTTACAACAGCAGCCCGCTCGTAGGGTATACTCCGACACAGCAGCAAGGAGGGTGGGTGGTCTCAAATTTTCTGCCCTACCGGTATTTTCTCGTATTCAAGGTAGGGAGAAAAGAGAATGATTGGCTGTATGCATCATCAACATGTTATCAGGGCCGACGCCTTCCTCCAATATTCGGTCCGAATTTGGATTCATCTGTAGCCCAATAATTTATACTGGCCGCCTGTTGTATTTTGCTCTTGGCCTATGTAAGATCATTTAATGAAAGTGTTGGATTTTGGATGAGGCCTCCAGCTCCGGCCTGTGGTCCCACCCATACTTTCCTGGCCATGTCTTCTGTTCGACCACTGACTGACCTGGAGCCTGGTTGAGTCACCCAAACAACCGAGGTAGGCTCAGATTTTGGACAATCTTGAGAAAAATTCCCGGAGAAATGGAGCATAGCGCTTTCCTCGTACATATGGAAGCCTTTGCTCGGTGGTGGGGACACAAAAAGGTTTGAGCGTCGCTCAAAATGGATGTTTCTCATGAGCGGGCCGGCGCTATGTTCATGTGCAGGTGCGACCGACGCTGGACGACAAGGCCTCCTTCGCGGTCGTGCTCGGCGACGTCCTCCTTGTAGACACGGCCCGTGGCATCTTCTTCCCAACTCTGTGGACCCACGTCAGCCAGCTCGGGGGAGACAAGATCGCCCTTGGGTACTGCGTCGGAGCTTTCAGTCTCGGGAGGTAGGTGCGTCTGTGGTCATCGCTCGCGCAGGCTGCAATGCCGGGCAACTCATAAGAAACCTTCACAAGAAGACCTGGCTCAGGTTCATCAAAGGAACGGAGGTCCTAAGCCGGAACACTTGTTGTAAAAGAGTGCCACAGGGCGGCAAACGTGATTCCGCTCCGCTCCCTACACCTATAGTCGCGACCAAGGGTAGCAACACTCCGCAGGGACGAATTCATTCCTCCCGGTGTTCGAGACGATGCTATTCGAGGCAGGAGCATTCTTACTCGCAAGAACAACATGACAGCACGGAAGGGCGATGGCCCATCGGTGATTGGTCCTGTGGCAACAGTGCTCCGTCCTCTCGAGGACGCGTGGTCAATAGTCTAACCGCTAAGGCATGCAAAACATGAATACGCCCTCCCCCTTCCCGGCCGCTCCTCCTCCTCCTCCCTCTCCCCCCGCCACAACGATTCGCCGCAGAACACTCATGTCGCCTGTTTTTGGGAGGATGTCCACGGAGCACGGCTACCGACGGGCTCTTTTGATCTCCACGGCCCTTGTTTCCTTCGGGACTCTCTTCTACGCGGTGGCCGACAGTGTTTTCACGGTGTTCCTGTCGCAGGTTTTCCTAGGTATGGGCTCATCTCGTTTGATCGCATACAACAGGATTGAACACGGGCTATTGATGTTGCTGTTGTGAATCCGCCTAGTACGAGTTGACGGGGCTCTTCATGGGCGTTTTTCTTAAATAGATGTGATGTGACGCTCCACTAAAAAACAAGTGGAGTACGACTACCTTGTACCAATTGGTTGGCGGCGTCTCAGCTTGTGGCATGTTGTGCACGTGTTGTTGTGTGTGTCGGGCATGCTCATACTCGATGCGGTTGCTGTTTTCGGCGGCACCATAACACGGTAGCTTTGAGTTTGTGTGGCGCAGTATTTTCCTTTCTTCAGAACAATCAATCGTAGATGTAGCGATTCGGAAGGTCTTTCTGGAACACCCCAATGTAACGACGCCGTAGTCAAGAACTCCACAACAAGCTGCTGTTATTGTGCTGCGTGCCTTGTCACAATCAACCGACTCGCACACCTGAGGTAAGGGGTGGGAAGCGGAACGTTGGGAGTAACGCGGGGGTACGTGGCTGACAAGACTACGAAGGAGCAGCGAACCTACCTCCTCGCCTACACAACGTGAGCATGCCGCTTGGCGGCCCTGTCGCCGCCGTTATCCGCCGCGGCGGTGCCAGAACAATGGCACCAGTAGCAGCCCAAGTAGACAAGCCGCCTCACATGATAGGGATCGGGGGCGGGGGGGGGGAGAGATCGTCAAGTGTCCATCATCCATCCTTTTTCTGACGGTGCACCTCGCTGCTGATGGAAAAGGTTCAAACCCATCTGACTTTTGACTTTCCAATCCTCACCACCTTATGCCCCAACTTCTGAACACGAACGTCGCAAAGTTGGGTAAGTGCTGCACCCTCTGCTCGGGGTAGTTGCACCCTGATTCGTGCAAAATGAAAGTATGAGCTGAAACGCCGTGATGCGCTATCGATCCATGCCGCTATCTACCAAGACCCGCTGCTGCCAGCTTCTCCTCCTCCTCCTCCTCGTCCTCCTAGCCGTTCACGCACTTCTTGCTGCCACCAACGCTGTCGCATCGCGATGCGCCTTGTTTCTGACTACTGTCGCCGTCATGACCGCTCCTTCCTTGTCCCCTCGATGCTGTCTGCCGCGATATACACCCCCCCCCCCTTATTCTCGTCGCTCACCCCCCAGAGCTGTGCAGTACGCCGGGTTTACCGTCATGCCGAGTCTAGGCGGGTTCTTCAGCTACCTCCTGGGCTCGACGGAGATCCCGCTGCTGGGGCGCTTCCTCATGCTGACGCAATTCACGGCCCCTGCCTTCTTCGTGGCGGCCATGTCCACCGTCTTGTTCTTGCTGCTCTGGTTTGTCTTCCAGGACGGTGAGGGAAGTTGAGAAGGAGAAATTGTCTATAGGGGGTGAATTTTCTCACAAACACGCCTTCTCCTACCTCAGTGCCCTCCGGTCGGATCTTCGTGTCACCCCTCACCCTACCCTACCCCAGTTCCCCCTGTCATGGGAGGACTGTAGAGGGAGAGATGAATGGTTTCCGTTCCCTACAACGGTGTACTATCCGGAACGAGAGTGAAGAGTTGAATGGTTTGGTTGTGTTTATTTAGTTTGTTTTCGTTTTTGTTGTGGCCTTTACCACCCGTTGTACCCTCTGTCCTACCGTTTCGAGGATCATGCCGGGGCACACCCAAGCTGTCCGATGACGATGACAGTCGATACACACTACGCCAAGGGCCAAACACCCGTAGCTGCCAGACATTCTCTTGAATGCCGGCAGGACTTCCTGCTATCGCACCTCGGTGCTACAAATACGTCTGCCAGCCTCGGAGAAGAGTTGCTCCCTTTTTTCGGTTGCATCTCAAGAGTTCCGAACAATTGTTTTCCCATCCAGTATTAGTCTAGACGTAAAATTTGGGACAGCTTCTCGTACATAGTGTATGCCTTTCGTCTCTGTAAGCACTCCGTCGGTCCGTAGCTGAAAGATTGCGCGGCCTCCCAGCCCGCCTGCCACTCACCGCCGCTTCTGCTGCCACTTCCCGGTTGCCACAGGAATTGAACAGAAGCCGGCCAAGACTACTTCCTCTGCGAAGGAGCTGTCCGGAACTGCGTCGGGGGTCACCCTGACCACTGATCTAGGCAGCGATGACAGCGGCTGTCTCAGCGACGACGACGATGTCCCTAACCAAGAACAGCAAGACCTTTGGCCGGCGGCGGAGTATTCCCCTCCGGGAAGCGTCAGCAGCGACAGCGGTGGTCGCACGGGAAGGGGAAGCCCCCCGTCGGTTGTCGGGCAGTACGTCGACATCTCCCGCGACGGCGGCTGGGGCGGTAGCGACGACAAGGGAATGGAAGATGTGGAAGACGGGTATCAGACGGGGTTAGCGGCCGCGGCCGCTGGGGCGGCGGCGGCGGGGAACAGAGCGGGAGTGCAAGCGACGTTCCATGATTCAGTTCAACATGAGGCGAAACACGGGGATGTGGTAGGAAGGGAGACGGCGACGCTGGGGGAAGGGGGTTGGCTTGCGCGAAAGCTCCGGCTCCGCCTGCCGAGCAGGGGAGACATGCTTATCTACGGCGGTTTCCTCCTCAACGTCAGCACCAAGGGCACCATCTCTTGCTTCGAGACCATCGGCGCGGCGTACGCGATCACAACATTTTCGCTTACCAGTGCAGAGGTGACACGGGGAGACAGAGAAGGGGATACTGATCGGGAACAAGAGATGTTTTTGGGGGGGGATGCTGCTGCTCGAAGAGATGCGCAATACCCTCCCCGCTCTGTTGATGATAGCAAGCCAAGCGAAATCGCATGTGCACACGCAAGCAAACGTAACCTTTACAAGAATGCAATTCCCCAACAACAGCACGTTTTATCCTCTCCCTGTTTGGTGTACACGGCGGTCGGTATGATACACGAACCCTCGTGTTAGTATGATCTGATGGCTTAGGAGTTACGGAGTCCCTGGTGCCTTGGGGTCTCGTGGTTCACCTCTGCTCGTGCTCCGTGCGTCAATACGACAAATGCCCCAACCAAAGGAAGTGGGTCTTACATATATCCACAAGGATCAGCTGCTAGGGTGTTGACGTCTGGTCACCCGCCTAATTAGCGAGTAAAACACGCCGAACATTTATTCTACGTACTTCCCTTTATTTTAGGCCGGCTCCGTGTTCGCGACCTGTGGAGCGATTGGCGTGGTCGCCCTCCTGTCGATGCGGCTCCTGTGCAAGCACTTCAACGACATCCAGCTGGTCCTGGGAGGGATGTCGCTCATGATCGTGACGTGCGCCATGCTGGCCTTGCCCCCCACGTTCATCGGGTTGAACGTGTTCATCGCGGCGGTGTTCCTGATGTACTCCGTCGGATATCCTATCGGCCACACGGCGGTGAGTTTTTATCTTCGTTTCTCTTCGTTCGGCGGTGCGTGGGGGCCTTCCACTCTATATCTTCTATTCTTGGCTAGATTTACGTCCGTTTGTATTGGGCAAGCCCCAAATCTCTGATACACTCTCCTGTTGCATGTTCTTTTCGGAGCATGCACAGCAGTGTAAGTGCTCGTTGAGCCCGAAGCCGTTCGTGCTGTGCGTTACTGTTCTCTTTCTGCTGGAAGTTGAAGTGCAGGCTCTCAAACCCATGAACATGTCGGTTGGTTCAGGCGGTGCAATATTGTGACGTGCTGCGAGCGGTGGGACCCCTTTCCTTATTGACTGCCGAAGCTTGACCTCACCTTGTGGCCATGGAATTTGTTTCGATGTCTTTGAACGGGGGGAAGGAAGTCAGGAAGGAAGGCCTCACGGTTCCAAACGTATACGCAAGAACGGTATCAGACTCGCGTACCCAAGAGCGGGCGACACCGGCGGCGCGGGGTTCGCGACGCGGTTTACAGCTCTGATCTACGTCGGTTTCATTTTCTCCTCAACCCGTGTAGGTTCGTGCAGTACGTTAAATGTTAAATGCTCTACCGCTGGACATGATAGGGTCGGTATCAAGCGGTCCCCCTTTGCGACGTGCATCCCCCCCCTAAAGGCTTAAGAACCACCCTCATGGGCTGTACCGCGTCGTTCCGCAGGTTCTGGGATTGTTCTCGAAGGTCGTGGGAGCCCAACCCCAGGGAGCACTGATGGGCTGGTTCGGGTCGGCCGGCGCACTGGCCCGTACTTGTTTCCCCGTCCTCGCCGGTGAGCCCCCCCCCCAGGTGTAAGGTCGAACGATCACGTCTGCCTACATTGTAGGTAGTCATGAGTACCTCGCAGATCTTATTGGGAGCATGCGGTAGATAGTCGCACTTAGCGTTGACACGCGGCGTTAAACCGCCAAGAGAGAAAGGGGGGTGGTGTATGAGACAACTCTACCACACGTTTAGGAGCGCCCAAACGTTGACGGATCGCCCCGGGGTGCGGCACGTCATCAATGGCCGACATACTTGAGGCGAGCAACCCCCCCCCCCCCCCCACCTTCCCCCCCCCCTCTCCCGGCTCCCCCCCTGGGGGCCCCGGCCCGGTTTCGGGGCCCCCGCTTTTTTTCTTTTCCTGGGGGGCCCGGCCCCCCGCCCCTTTCCCCCGGCCCTCCCTTTCCGGGGGGCGGTCCCGGGCCGGTTCCCCCTCCCCCTCCGGGGTTTGGGGGGCGGGGGGGCCGCCCCCCCCCCCTCCCCTGGGGCCCGCCCGGTGCCCTCTGGGGCGCGGGGGCGGGGGGTGGGCCCCTTCCCTTGGGGCGGGTGCCCCCTCCCGTTTTTGGGGGGGGGGGGGGGGGTCTCCTCCCGGCCCCGCCCTTCCTTTTCCTGGCTGCGGTGGCTTTTCCCTTTGTTGGTTGCGGGCGTGGGTGGGCTCCCTTTGTCTTGGTGTCCGTCGCCCGGTTT